CACAATTTATGCATATATCAAATTATGATGATAAACACTTTAAATATCTTACAGTTTTACTTGTCAATTATACCTCAATAAAGCTGAAAAAATATTATACCCCTTCATTTATACTGTAAGAATCTTAAAATAGTATAATTTCATTTCCTTTCTCCTATCTGTGTGCTGTTTCATTATATGTTCCACTTTTATGTATGCTACAAACTGCATAATACATTGTTACTATTTACTCTAGACTGTCAATGATCTTTTATTAAAGTGTTTATTTTTTTGAGAAGTTTTAGGTTTATAATAAAATTGAGAGGAAGGTACAGAGATTTCTTATATGCCCCCTGCCCCCACACATGCATAGCGTCCCCCATTACCAATATCACTTGACAGAATGGTACTTTTTTTTTTTTTTAACCAACCACGAACCTACGTTGAAACATCATAATTGCCCAAAGTTCATAGTTTACCTTAGGATTCACTCTTGGTGTTGTACATTCTATGTGTTTGGACAAATGTATAATGACATATATCCATCATTTTAATATCATACAGAGTATTTGCACTGCACTAAAAATCATCTATGCTCTTCCTATTCATCTCTGTCCTCTCCTCAACCCCTGGCAACCACTGATCTTTTTACTGTCTTAATAGTTTTTGCCTTTTCCAGAATGTCATATAGTTGGAATCATACAGTATGTACCCTTCTCAGATTGGCTTCTTTCACTTAGTGTTATGCATTTAGGGTTCCTCTATGTATTTTCATGGCTTAATAGCTCATTTATTTTTGGCTCTGAATAATATTCCATTGTCTGGACATACCAAAGTTTGTTTATCCATTCACTTACTGAAGGACATCTTGGTGGCTTCCAAGTTTTGGCAATTATGAATAAAATTGCTATAAACATCTGTGTGCAGGTTTTTGGACATGCATTTTCAACTCCTTTGGGTAAATACCAAGCAGTGTGATTGCTGGATTGTACGGTAAAAGTATGTTTAGTTTTGTAAGAAACTGCCAAACTCTTCCAAAGTGGCTATATCATTTTGGGTTCCTTCAGGCAATGTATGATTTCCTGTTGCTCCACATCCTTGTCAGCGTTTGGTGTTGTTAGTGTTCTGGATTTTGGCCTTTCTAATAGGTGTGTAGTGGTATTTCATTGTTGCTTTAGTTTACATTGTCCCTGATGACATATGATGTGGAATATCTTTTCATATGCTTATTTGCAATCTGTATATCTTCTTTGGTGAGGTGTCTGTTAAGGTCTTTGGCCCATTTTGTAATCAGGTTGTTTGCTTTCTTATTGTTGAGTTTTAAAAGTTCTTTGTATATTTTGGGTAATAGTCCTTTATCAGATGCATCTTTTGCAAATATTTTCTCCCAGTCTGTGGCTTGTCTTCTCATTCTCTTGCTATTGTCTTTTGCAGAGCAGAAGATTTTAATTTTAATGATGTCCAGCTTATCAATTCTTTCTTTCATGGATCATGTCTTAGGTGTTGTATCTAAAAAGGCATCACCTCACCCAAGGTTATCTAGGTTTTTTCCTATGTTATCTTCCAGGAGTTTTATAGTTTTGTATTTAACATTTAGGCCTATGATCCATTTTCAGTTAATTTTTATGAATGGTATAAGGCTTGTGTCTAGATTCTTTTTTTTTTTGCACTTGGATGTCCAGTTATTCCAGCACCATTTGTTGAAAAGACTATCTTTGCTTCATTGTATTGCCTTTGCTCCTTTCTCAAAGATCAGTTGACTATATTTATAAGGGTCTATTTCTGGACTCTCTATTCTGTTCCATTAATTTACTTGTCTGTTCTTTCACCAATACCAAAATGTCTTGATTATCATAGCTTAATAGTAAGTCTTGAAATCAGGTAGCACCAATCCTCCAACTTTGTTCTTCTCCTTCAATATTTTGTTGACTATTCTGGGTCTTTTGCTTCTTTATATAAACTTTAGAATCAGTTTGTCCATATCCATAAAACAACTTGCTGGGATTTTGATTGGGATTGCATTGAATTTATAGATCACATTGGGGAAAACTGACATCTTGACAATATTGAGCCTTCTTATCCATGAACATGGACTCTCTCCGTTTATTTTGTTCTTTGATTTTGTTCATCAGAGTCTTGTAGTTTTCTTCATATAGATCTTGTACATATTATGTTAAATTTATCCCTAAGTATTTCATTTTGGGGCGGTGCTAATGTAAATGGTACTGTGTTTTTAATTTCAAATTTCATTTGTTCATTGCTGGTGTATAGGAAAGTGATTGACATATATATATTAACCTTGTATCCTGCAACCTTGCTATAATCACTTATTAGTTTCAGGAGATTTTTGTTGATGATTTAAGATTTTCTACATAGATGACCATGTTATCTGTGAAGAAAGAAAGTTTTATTTCTTCCTTCCCAATCTGTATACCTTTTATTTCCATTTCTTGCCTTAGTGTATTAGCAAGGACTTCCAGTATGACGTTGAAAAAGAGTGGTGAGAGAGGACATCCTTGCCTTGTTCCTGATCTTAGTGAAAAAGCTTCAAGTTTCTCACCATTAAGCATGATGTTACCTTAGTTTTTTTGTAGACAGTCAAGTTTAGAAAGTTCCCCTCTTACTCCTTGTATACTGAGAGTTTTTATCACGAATGAGTGTTGGATTTTTTGAAATGTTTTTTCTGCATCTATTGATATGATCATGTTATTTTTCTTTTTTAGTCTATTCATGTGGTGTATTCCATTAATTGATTCTTGAAAGTTGAACCAGACTTGCATACCTAGGATAAATCCTGCTTGGTCGTTGTATATAATTCTTTTTATGCTTTCTTGGATTCAATTTGCTAATGTTTTATTGAGGATTTTTGCGTCTGTGTTCACGAAACATATTGATCTGTAGTTTTCTTTTCTTGTAATGTCTGTCTAGTTTTGGTATTAGAGTAATGCTGGCCTTTAGAATGAGTTAGGAAGTATTCCCTCTGCTTCTATCATCTGAAAGAGACTGTACAGAATTGGTATAACTTCTTCCTTAAGTGTTTGGTAGAATTCACTAGTGAACACATCTGGGCCTGGTGCTTTCTGTTTCGGAATTATTCATCCAATTTCTTTAATAGATATAAGCATATAAGATCATCTATTTCATCATGTGTGAATTTTGGTAGATTGTATCTTTTTAAGGAATAAGTCCATTTCATCTATGTTATCAAATTTGTGGGCATAGAATTGTTCAAAGTATTGTTTTCTTATCCTTTTATTATCCATGAGATCTATAGTGATGTCCCCTTTTCATTTCTAATATTAGTAATTTGTGTCCTCTCTCTCTTTCTCTTAGTTAGCCTGGGTAGGGGCTTATCAATTTTTATTGATCTTTCCAAAGAATTGGCTTTTAGTTTTATTGATTTTTTTCTATTGATTTCTTGTTTTCAATTTTATTTCTGCTCTAATTCTTATCATTTCTTGTTTTCCTGCTTACTTTGGATTCAATTTGCTCTTCTTTTTCTGATTTCCTAAGGTAGAAACTTAGATTATTGATTTCAGATCTATCTTCTTTTCTAATATATGCATTCAATGCTATAGAGTTTCCTCTTAGCACTGTTTTCACTGCATCCCACAAATTTTGATAAGGTGTGTTTTCATTTTCATTTAGTTCAAAGTGTTTTAAAATTTGTCTTGATTTTTTCTTTGACCCATGTGTTATTTAGAAGTGTGCTGTTTAATCTCCATATATTTTGGGATTTTACAGTTATCTTTCTGTTATTGGTTTCTAGTTTAATTTCACTGTGGTCTGAGAGCAGACACTGTATGATTTAAATTCTTTTACATTTAAGGTGTGTTTTATGCCCCAGAATATGGTCTGTCTTGGTGAATGTTCCATGTGAGCTTGAGAAAAATGTTTATTCTGCTGTTGTTGGAGGAAGTAGTCTATAGATGTCAATTATATCCAGTTGATTGATGGTGCTGTTGAGTTCAACTATGTCCTTACTGATTTTTCTGCCTGCTGGATCTGTCCATTTCTGAGAGAGGGGTGTTGAAGTCTCCAGTTATGATAGTAGATTCATCTATCTCTCTTTGCAGTTCCATCAGTTTTTGCCTCACATAGTTTGATGCTCTGTTGTTAGGTGCATACACGTTGAGAATCATTACGTCTACTTGGAGAATTGACCCCTTTATCGTTGTGTAATGTTCTTCTTTATTCCTAATAACTTTCCTTAATTTGATGTATGCTCTGTCTGCAATTAATATTGCTACTCCTGCTTTCTTTTGATTAGTGTTAGCATGGTGTATTTTTCTCCATTCGTTTACTTTTAATTTATATGTTTCTTTATATTTAAAGTGGATTTCTTGTAGTCAGCATAGTTGGATCATGCTTTTGATCCACTCTGACAATTTCTGTCTTTTAATTGGCGGATTTACACCCTTGACATTCAAAGTGATTATTGGTATGGTTGAATTAATATCTACTATATTTGTTACTGTTTTATATTTTGTTTTCCTTGTGTTTTTTGTTCCTATTTTTGTATTCCACTCTTTTTTCTGCCTTTTGTGGTTTTAGTTGAGTATTTTATATAATTCTATTTTCTTTTCTTTTGCAGCATATCACTTACGCTTTTAAAAAAAATTTTTTAGTGGTTGCCCTAGAGTTTGCAATATACATTTGCAACTGATCCATGTTATCTTTCAAATAATACTATACCACTTCGTGGATAGTGTGAGTACCTTATAATAACAAAATAATCCTAATTCTTCCTTTCTGTCCCTTGTATTCTTGCTGGAGCTCATTTCACTTATATATAAGCATACATAAGCATATATATGTCTATACACATGCATGCATAATCAAATACGTTGTTGGTATTATTATTTTGAGCAAATTGTTAGCTGTTATATTAAGAATAAGAAAAAAATTATTTTACCTTCACTTATTCCTTCTTTGATACTCTTCCTTTCTTTATGTAGATCTGAGTTTCTGATCTATATTTTTCCTTCTGTCTAAAGAACTTCTTTTAACATTTTTTCCAAGGCAGGTCTACTGGCAACAAATTCCCTCACTTTTTGGTTATATGAGAAAGTCTTTGTTTATCCTTCACTTTTGAAGGATGATTTTACAATGTACAGAATTATAATTTGGTGATTTTTTTCTCTCAAAACTTTGAATATTTTCTCCATTCTCTTCTTGCTTGCATGTTTCTGAGAACTCAGATGTAATTCCTATCTTTCTTCCTCTGTAGGTAATGTGTTTTTTTTCCCTTTGGCTTCTTCCATGATTTTTTCTTTATCTTTGATTTTTCTGTAGTTTGAAGATGATACACCTTGATGTATTTTTTTTTTTTTTTGACATTTATCCTGCTTGGTGTTCTCTGAGTTTACTGGATCTGTGTGGTTTGGTGTCTGACATTAATTTTGAGAAGGTCTCAGTCATTATTGTTTTAAATTCTTCTGTTCCGTTCTCTCTTGTCCTAGTATTCCTATTATGCATATGTTACAGCTTTTGTAGTTGCTCCACAATCCTTGGATATTCTATTCTGTTTTTTCAGTCTTCGTTCTCTTTGCTTTTCAGTTTTTGAGGATTCTATTGATATATCCTCTAGCTCAGAGATTCTTTCCTCAGCTGTGTCCCGTCTACTAATAAGCCCATCAAGGGCTTATTCTTTTTTTTTGGGGGGAAGATTGGCCCTGTGCTAACATCTGTTGCCAATCCTCCTCTTTTTTTCTTTTTTCTCCCCAAAGCCCCAGTAGATAGTTGTATGTCATAGTTGTAGATCCTTCTAGTTGCTCTATGTGGGACATTGCCTCAGCATGGCTTGATGAGAGGTCTGCGACCAGGATCCGAACCGGCGAACCCTGGGCTGCCGAAGTGGAATGCACGTACTTAACTGCTATGCCCCTGGGCTGGCCCCTAAGGCATTCCTTATTTCTGTTATAGTATGTTTGATGTCTAGCATTTCTTTTTGGTTCTTTCTTAGGATTTCCATCCTTCTGCTTCTATTGACCATCTGTTCTTGCATGCTGTCTACTTTATCCATTAGATCCCTTAGCATATTAATCATAGTTGTTTTAAATTCCCAATCTGATAATTTCAACATCCCTGCCATGTCTTGTGTTGATGCCTGTTCTGTCTCTTCAAATTATATTTTTTGCCTTTTGGTATGACTTGTAATTTTTATTGATAGCCAGATATGATGTACTAGGTAAAAGGAACTGCTGTACATAGGCCTTTAGTAGTGTGGAAGTGAAGTGTAGGAGGAGACCATCTGTTGACAATGGCCTGTTTTTGCTTGCTTCTATGTGTGTCTCATAATTTTTGATTGAATGCTGGACATAATGTTTAGAAGAAGAGTAGAGACTGAGGTAAATATTATTTATGACTAGGAATGGGCTTCCTCTTCTTCTGTCAAGCCATTAATGTATGGTTGAGTCAATATAGTCAGGAGTTGGGTGGATTTGGTTTTTTACATGTTTATTTTTACTTTCAGGGCATCACAGTCTTCAAATTCTTCTAGCAGTTGGGTGTTATTATCTTGTATTTAGAGTAGTGGCTGGATTGCCAGATAGTTTTTTTCAGTGTTTTTGTCATCCCTGGATGCCTGCATCAAAGAGGGGCATCTCTCTCCATGCTCTTTCCCCTTCGACAGTGATACACTGCTGTTGTCTATTACTTGTGCTGTGCTAATTGTGAGAATTTGGAAGTGGTTCTCTTGTTCAGATACAGTCTGGTTTTAAACAGACCTTGTTAGTTTACCAGTTTACAGCTTTTCAACTCAAATATACAAACTTAGGGGAAAAAGTTCAATACAAAATTCAAAGCCCTCCTTCCACCTCTATGCCAGCAACTCCATGTCAGTGTTTCACACACTCACATGAACTCTAGTTATAATGCCTTCTCATATCCTCCATCTCATAGCAATAGGAATAATCACATCTTTTAGAAGTATTTTCTTGGATTGGGGAAGGATTCATGGAGGTAGTTTTACTTGAGTTGGATCTGAAAGGTGACCAAGATTTCCTCAGGCAGAAATGGTTGGACAGGGAATTCCAAAGAGCCATGACTAAGGGCAAAAGACAGTCAACACTGGAAGAGGTATGGTGTGCCCTTCTAGCAACAAAATGGTGTTTGAGAGTGTCATCTAGGTGCCCACAAAATTCACTGATGCATAAATGGAACTACGCTGTGAGACTTGGGGTCATATTTGTACCCCATGCTGGTGAAGCAGACCATACTTGTTATCTAAGTGTAGTGTTTGGGAATATGAGCCTTTTATATCATATTATGCTCCCTCACATTTTTATCTGCCTGCAGTGGCCCAAAGGAATAACCCCATATTCCAGAGAGGAATAATTCTGGAAAAAATAATCATAAGAAAACATGAATTCAGTTATATAAATTGCGAAAGACAATTCATTGTCCTATTTGTTTTGTTATAGTGTAAAATGTTGCACACACTTTCATCTGAACTAGAAACCAAAAACTATGAGTATCAATTTGTGGAGAAACTAATTATTACAGTATCCTATTGTGTCCCATTCCTTTCCATGCCACCTCCACCCATCTGCCTATCTATGTCTGTTGGTAAGAATAGTCAAGGGGGGGAATGAATACTCTACTAAAATGAAGAGAACAAAACTGTTCATTTCTCCTCAGCTTCTCAAAAAAATAAAAACTTCAGAGGATGGAAATAATTCAATCTCTAGGTTTCCTTGATTTGTTTGTCCAAAGCAATTTACCCAGATAAACCTTTCTTCTACTTCTGTAGACTTGATAATACCATCACAAAAGATGCTAAGTTTTAAGAAAATACTATTTTAAGGCTTCCAAGAAATAGGTATAATAATAATTTCTTGTTTTAACCCAAGTCAAACTACTTCTTTATCCCTTGGCATTATTACCACTTTTTTTGATGCTTTTAAATTTGTTGGTAGGTGTAATGATATCGCCGGGAAGGTGTTATCTTGATGCACACAAAGCCTCCTCACTGATGCTGAAATGGAACTGTGATATGAGATGAGGGAAATTCCTGCAGCTTGTATGTATTGAAGCATGTTGTATATTTATGTCCAGGTCTAGGTTTGTTTCAAACCTCTGTTGCTGCTCTCTCTTTGGCTTTGCCAACTGAATGGGTGAGGAATTCAGCCTCCTGTGCTGGGGCTTCTCCTAAGGGAAAGAGATGGCACACTTCCATTTTTATATAAATTGGCTGATTTTCTGTTTCTCCAAGCCTCCGTTTTGTGTAATGAAAGAAAAACAGAAGAAAGATATAGCTGATTAGGTCCATCCCTCCAGGGTATGGTACTGGGCCAAAGATATACTGTGTTTGATTACTTTTGTTGATATTTGGTGTGCTTATAAAAATATCAATATCAAGCATTCCTTCGATTTTAATTTTGTAACAGTAATAAGCACCTTACATTTCATTTAATCTTTCCAATAGCCCTATGAAGTAGGTGTTGTTATTTCCATTTTATAAAGATGAGGAAACTGAGCCTCAGAGAGTTGAAGTGATTTGCCCAAGGCACATAGTCAATGTTGGAGCTAGAATTTTAGCACAGGCGGTCTAACTATAGATTTCATGCTCTTAACCAAGGATTGGCAAATTTTTCTGTAAAGGGCAGATAGTAAATGTTTTAGGCTTTGCAGGCCATATAGTCTCTGTTACAACTACTCAACTCTGCTGCTTAGCATAAGAGGAGCCATAAACAATACATAAATTAATGATATGTTCCAATAAAACTTTATTTACAAAAACAGGTGGAGGGCAGAATGTAGCCTGTGGGCTATTGTTTGTTGAACACTACTCTTAACCATTATGAAATACTGTCACGTTGCTGAGTATTAATGATTCATGAGTAAACAAGGTGTTTCTCTTGTTCTTTTATGGGAGATATATAAAGGTCTTAGTCTTACAGAATAAAAAGTCAAAGGATACCTAGTATTTGTATCCTTTTGTTTACAAAAATATTTCTATATATCTACATATACATCTATCTATATAAATATGTATATATACATAGATGTGCAGGTGCACACGGGTTTGTATGCATGTGTTTGGGTTATATATATTTTTTCTATATATATAGAAGGCCATACATTAAAATGTTAATTCGGGTTATCACTTGGGTTGAATTTGAGGTTGATTTGAATTTTCCTCTCTAAAAGTGATGACTTTTCCAATTTTTCTATAATGCATATTTATTACTAACTGGAATCAGAACAAATTAAAATAACAAAAATAAATTTATCAGTTTTTTTTTCTGGGCAGAGGCAGAGGAGAGGAGGAGAGAAGGCATAGCATTGGGTAGAAGCTAGAACCAGGAGAAACAGGCTACTCGGGAACCTACCAAGGCTTAACAGATCTGATAGTATCAGTTTTTAATTTTAGCTCAATATGTATCTTTATTGTCTGATCTATGAAAATGAATGTGGGCCTTTTAAATGCTTTTCCTTTTCTATTTATCACGATATTAAGTTTTGTCACCAGGTACTAAAGAAGAAGAAAAAAATTTTTGCTTTCTGGTGCCAATGTGCTCACACAGTAGGCTCCTGCTGGGCAAGTGGCTTCCCCAGTGTCCAGCTTCTCTAGTGCCTGGTTTCTGCAGTGCATGGAATTCAGCAGCTCCCAGCTGCCAAAAGCTTCCCTTGGTAACCCCCTCTTAGGTGGTTTTGTAGTGGAGTGCCTCTGATGAGACACTTCCCATGAACCTCCATTAGGATGAGTTTCTGACAAGTTCCCAAGAGCAGATTTCTAGCAAGTTTTACTCGTGTGACACCACAGCAACTTCTCTGCCATCCAGTTAGCTATGGCTATGCACTCTCCATCAATGACTGAATCTCAGCCCTATGGAGGGAGGTTGTAGGGGCGAGGAGGACCTCTTCCTTGGGCATCCTATTTCAGCCTTAGGGATAGTAATTTCTCCTTATATGTGCTACTTCTGTATTTATAATTCTCTTTACTTCTTCCCAGAAAATCCTTTGTTACTCCAATCTCCTGTTATAATTAATAATTCTTTATATTAAACTTTCACTGTTGAAATTACTATGTCATTTGTTTCTCCTAATGGGACCCACACTAATATGTCAACACGTTGAACCTG